AAATAAAAAAATTACATTTCAAATGCACTTAAGACCAAATAGGTCTGAAGTGCGACCAATGGTTTCGTGCACTTAAAGCTAATACATCTGAAGTGAGACATTGCACTTCAGATGCACTTAAGGCCAATAAGTCTGAAGTGAAAAATTGCACTTCAGATGCACGTAAGGCCAAAATGTTTGAAGTGCAACAAACGTTTTCATTTACTTAAGGCCAATAAGTCTGAAGTGAAAATTTGCACTTCAGATACACTTAAGGCCAAAAGGTCTGAAGTGCAACAAACGTTTTTATGCACTTAAGGCCAAATAGGCACGAAGTGCATATTGCCCAGAAACAGAAATTTGTTCTTCGAATTATAACAATCCAATATACGATTTAATACCTAAATATACTCCAAATGAGCTCAAATTTGAAACAAAATATCCATATATGTCACGACCCAAAATCCCACTACAGGCGTCGTGATGGCACCTAGTCTCTAAGACTTGGTAAGTCGATTTTCATTACATTTCGAAGCCATTTTTTAATAAACGAAACTGAATTAAATAGATAATCAAAACCAACAGCGGAACAAATATGAATATAGCAACCTCCCAAGACTGGTAGTACTGAGTCACGAACTCTAACTGAATACATGAAATGATCTCAAGGATCGAATACTCAATACTGTTTGATTAATAATTAACAGTACAATAACATGAAAAGATTTCAAGGGAATGCGACGACCAAGCAGCTCTATCTTGAATCCTTGCGATCACACTTTAACTCTGTCCGAGTCCGATAGCTTCAATACCTGGCTTTGCATAAAAATGTGCAGAAGTGTAGTATGAGTACACCACGTTCGGTACCCAGTAAGTATCAAGACTAACCTCGGTGGAGTAGTGACGAGGTACAGTCAAGACACTCACTAATCAATTAAGCTGTGCAGTGTAGCAGTATATAATAATAATAATAGAAACAAATGGGAATGATGACAACAAAAATAAATAAATGATGTAAACAACAAGGCAACAAGAACACCATAAATATTTCTCAAACGAATAAGGAACACAAATACAACCAATCAATCAAGTCCCTCAAATATACGTCTTTCCAATGTAAAACTTCAAGTATAAATCTTTCAAATATAAGTTTTTCAATTAAAATTCTTAGAATATAACCTTGTCAAATAAATATATATTTCAAATATACTCCCTTAAAATAAATTTCTTTCAACTATAATTCTTTCAAATAATATTTTTGGAATATAATTCCTTCAAATAAAAGTCACTATGTAACACCTTATTTCATAATCATAAAAAATACGGGTCTCAACCCACTTCCATGTTTCCACGGCATCTCGTGCCCATATTTATATTACAACTGCACGGACAACTCACGTGCCAATAATATCAATGTATATAAGATCCACATAATCAATTTATTTCCACTAAAGTGAGTTTATAATTTTTAAATCAAGTAAGAAATCAACAAAGAAATGAATTTATTCTAGAAATTATTTGGGTGAAGAAAATAACATTGTACCTAAATTAAAGTATCAGATAAACTACTGATTTGGATGTAAAACTATTTAATGTAAAACATAATAATAATTTTTTTTATTTAAATCAACTCAATCATCGAAAATTAGTAAGAAAAACCTGAAATATACTTCTTTAGAGTCTCGTGCTAAAAAGCCAAAGCCAACACAACACAACTAGGAGCACAAAACACATAATAATAAAGTCAACTAGTACATCATGGAAGAAGACAAGAATTTACATGTTAAATGAAACAAAATCACCCAAGACAAGAACATAAATAAAGAGATATCAACAGGGCACTCCCGAGATACCGCCTCGTAGTCCCAAATCATAAATAAATTCACAATATCTCATTTTCTTATATCACCGCGGGAGCCTTCACATTTAATTTTAAAGAAATTATTTATTCCGAAATAGCATCTTGCGTTTTAGCCACCCTTATCACACCGCATGACTTCTAGTAGTTCCCCTACTAGCCACGCGTTTCAAGCCACCCTTATCTCACCGCATGTGTTTCAATAGCTTGATCTTATATCACTGTATGACTTCTAGTAGTTCCCCTACTAGCCACGCGTTTCAAGCCACTCTTATCTTACAGCATGCGCATCAATATCACAATATTTCACAAATCGCACCTCAAGTGCCCAAATATCACAGCATAATACAAATTGTACATCAAGTGCTCAAATATTATAACTTTCCACAGAAATCAACAATACATTATTTTTCCACAATAAGGAGCCAACGACTCGATCATAATGTGTACAACATCTTAACAAAATGTTCGGGAGTGAACAACTCAACCGAATAATATTTCACAATTTGGCACTTTGCCTCAATATGATTCACGACCTTTTTAATTCAATACCAAATTTTCAACAACGTGAATTGAAAAGTAATTCATCAAGAAACAACACCTCTTTTAAATCACAACTTCAAGAAATAAATAGATTTATTCATCTTATTAACTAAATTTTCTATTTAAATTATCTTATAGGTAAAATCAATAATGAAAGTGTTTTCCATAAAAATGGCAACTCAAACAAATACAGAGTTCACGTAAAAGTCAAGTGACAATCACATCAAATTATCATATAAAAATAACCTCGGCAAACAATGAATGAGGCATGACAAATAAGGGATTTAATAAGTCACAATAATTTTTTAATTTAATAATTAAGGGCGTCTACGAATTTCAACAGATATAATATGCATATATAAACCAAGTACATACTCGTCATCTGGCGTAAATGGTTTTCAATTACATAATTTTCACATAAGACTCAATGCCTAAGGGGTAATTTCCCCCACTCAAGGTTAGATAAGATACTTACCTTTTTGAAGTTATGCCGGTATTCCAAAATAGCCGTCTTGCTTGAATAAATCATTCGGACAGCTCAAATCTATTCAAATTAATTCAATTTAGTCAATACTAATTATAGAAATTAATTCCATATGAAAATACTAATTTTCCAACAAAATCCGAAATTTAACTCAAAAATCGTCCATGGGGCCCACGTCTCGGAATCCGACGAAACTCACAAAATCCGATAACCCATTCAATTACGAGTCCACCTATACCAATTTTATCAAATTCCGATAACAACTCGACCTCCAAATCTCAAATTTTTATTTTTGGAAGATTTTGCAAAAATCTTGATTTTTCTGCCATAAATTCGCGGATTAATGATATAAATGAGTATGAAATCATGAAATATAAACAATATAGGATAATGAACACTTACCCCAATGTTTTTCTGTGAAAATCGCTCAAAAATCGTCCAAGAACCGTGCTCCAAAAATCCAAAATGAAATGAAGGAAATGACCATTTTTGGTCCTTAAGTTTCTGCCCATCCGTCACTAAAAGTCAATTTTCCGTCACTAAAAGTCCACACCAGAACTTGCTTGCACCAGCCTTCTTTCATTTGATCATAACTTTATATACAAATGTCCAAATAATAAATAGTTTAACTTTCTGGAAACTAGAATCAAAATACTACAACTTTCATGTTTTGATAATTTTCTGATTCCTTATGAATTGCGAGATATAAGCTTCCAAATTCGGCTCTACCCAATCGGCCTTCATTTAATCCATCATAATGTTCTGTACAAATGTTCAAATGATGAGTGGTTTAATATTCTGGAAACTAGAATCAAAGGGCTACAACTTTCATGTTTTGAAAATTTTCATATTCCTTATAAATTTCGAGATATAAGCTTCCAAAGTCGGCTCTGCGATTGTACCCGTTGCTGTCCAAAAACAGTTTGTGCAGCAGAAAAATTCCAGCAGCTCCTTTTTGCCCGAATCCATTCCGTTATCCTTCCAAAATCCACCCGAGGCCCTCGGGACCTTAACCAATTATACCAACATATCCCAAAATATAATACGAACTTAGTCGAGGCTTCAAACCACATCAAACAATATCAAAACGACGAATCGCACCTCAAATCAAAATCTATGAACTTTGAACTTTCAAATTCTATATCTTGTGCCGAAACACATCAAATCAATTCGGAATAACTTTAAATTTTGTACACAAGTCATAAATGACATAACAGACCTATTCCAATTTCCAGAATTTGATTCTGACCTCGATATAAAAAAGTCAACCCCCGGTCAAATTTTTCAAAAATTCAACTTTTGGCATTTCAAGCCTAATTCCACTACGGACCTCTAAATAATTTTTCGGACATGCTCCTAAGTCCAAAATTATCATACAGAGCTATTGACATCATCAAAATTCCATTCCGGAATCGTTTTCTCAAAAGTCAACTCTCCGGTCAACTCTTTCCATTTAAGCTTCTAATTAAGGATTATTTATTTTAATAATTCCGAATCTTCCGAAAAATTAAATTCGACCATACCCGCGGGTCATAATACTTATTACGAAGTTGCTCGAGACCTTAAGTCGCTGAACGAGGCGTTAATTCTTAAAACGACAAGTCGGGTCGTTACAATATATCATCAGGAATAAACCCCAATCATCAATTTGTCAAAACAACAATAAATCTAATGAACCTATTTTGCAATTAAGAAAAAGAAGAATAAAAAATCCTAAGCAATAGTAAAATATAAAGCGTCATAATAACTTATCATTATAAAACATCATAAACTACATTAAAATATTTTCATAACTACTATATAAAATCATTGTCACCTGAAGAAGAAGAAGGAAGAGGAGAAGAAGAAAACGAAAGAGGAGAATGAGGAGGAGAAAAAAGCCTGAAATTGTTTAAAAAGTGGGTATAAGTTAAATTTTTTTTAAAAAGTAGGTATATGTTAAATTTGGGGATCAAATAGGACGCCCGCACAATGGCCTCACTGGCCAAAGCCTTAGAGCCGTCCCTGCAAATAATCAACATGCGATAAACATCTATTTGAGAATAATTCAATCATAAAATTTCATTTTAAAAAAAATTTAGAGCAAGTTTTCTACGGATTCATGGCAAGTTAAGATATATCAACAGATTTTTTTAAAATAATAGATTGAAGAATTTTGTTACCGTGAAAGAAGAAATTGATTCTACAGGGATCTTCAGAGTATGTTATTGGAGATTTTTGTATTTTGCACCTCTATTGCGTGCTTAAATGATTTGCATAGTAAAATGAGATTAGCGGCTTATAAAGCTTCACTTCGACGTGGCAATTTCAAAATTTGAAAAAACAAAAACCCGCCAGTATAAAGCCCCAACAATCGAATTCGCATTGCAGAGAGAAGTTTCACCAAGAGATGAAGAAAAGATCGAGATCGACGAGGAAGTCATCTGCGGCGGATTTTCTGTCAACTCCGCCGGCGACCTCGGCTGCAAGTCCTGTCCAGTCGATGAGTGAGTCTCCGAAGCCATTCGTGTTCAATTTCAATACGTTCAACGCTACGCCAACATCATCATCGAAGAAGAAGCTGAGGACTACTGGAAAGAAGAGCTTCAATATTTCAAGTCCGGAGCAGTTGAAACCTGCCGGTTCTCCGGCGTCAGTCAAAAACCTGAAGTCGATAGCGGATCTGAAGGAATTTGCATCTTCTCAATTGGACTCTGTTAAGCGCCAGATTGAGCGATCGCACATGGAGATTCTCAAGGACCTCGAGGCTTCTCAATCTCGCCTTCAGAAACGTCTCAAGGTCTCTCTCCCTCCCTCTCTCTTACACACACACACACACGTAGCCACGAGATTTTGAAGATAACATTATATTCATACATCCATCTGCTAGTGCTTAGGTCAGTGGTAGAATTAGCTCTTATGCATGCGTGTATTTGTGTGTGAGTGTGTGTAATAAATGTGTATGTATGTCTCCGGGTAATGCTCTCGTATTCAAAGTGTACGGGCATATATTGAATCCTTTTTTTTGATTCCATATACTTTCTAGATGATTCACGATTTTAGGTTTTGTTTTTTCCGGATGGATACGCTATGTGATATGAGGTAATTTCCAACTAATCTTCTCAATTCGGTTATCTGTCAATTGTTTCCGGTTTGTCGATTCAGTTTTCTCGATTCAGTGGTCTATCAATCAACTGTTCGGTGTTGTTGTTTTTGAGTTTTGAGATGCAGCTTCTAAGAAGTTGCTTGATCTCAGCAACTAGAATAGTGAATGCCCTAGAACATTCCCGAATATTAAAGTTAATCATTAGACGGATGATTAACTAATCTGATTCACTCACAATCTTAGATTTGTTATAAGTATTCCCCTCAGAATTGTTTTAATGCCAGGTAGATAGGCTTTAAGCATAGTAAAACTATTCTTTTTGCTAAAGATGAATAATCTTATGGACTAAAATGTGTATATTTCGCATACGATATCTAGGTTCCTTGGCTCTCACAAAGATTCAAGCGTAACCCAGAGTTCTGCACAATTATCTGTTGACATAGCGACATCTAGCACTGGAGTGTTAATTCAGGCTCATCTAAATGAGATTCCAATGTTACGATACCAAATTATTTGTCCGTTTTGTGCGTCAATGGTGCAGTTCTTTGCGCTCTATTATTAAACATGAACCAGAATGCTTAGCTGTACTTTATTGGAAGAGGATACATAAGAGACTTGCAAGTTGAGCTTGTTACATGCAAAGTAATTGTCTTCATTGCTGTCATCTGACTTAGAGAGAGCATCTAGTTTAACACCTTATTTCTGTTACTGAAATAAAAAGAAATCTCTTTTAAGCTTTATGAGATTAGTCAATTTTGAGTTATTGACCTAAATTCAAGTAAATAAGGATTAGAATCTTATCTTCTCTAAGTTGATCTCATGCTTTACAAGCTTCCATCAAGCTATGGATATAAACAAGATTAAGGATAATCCATCGAATTACGTGATTTTCCACTGTTTCACGATTCCATTGTAACATGGGGTTTGATTGCATTTAGTGGTTATGTTAAGTAGTTTTCTCTTGGTGGCTCCATACATCATTATGTTGTTACTTTAACTTCTTAAGCAATTAAAAGGGCTAGAAGAACCATCTATGACCAGTTCTATAGATAATATAGCCAATTCCACACATCGGAGCTGTTTCATATCTGTTGGTAAATGTGGTATTTCGTTACATTTTCCTTCTAATTTTTGTGTAATTAAACAGATTCAGACACAAGGATGCCAGCAAGTGGCAGATGAAGCAGAAAGGGAGTATAAAAAGATGTCTGAGCGAATCAATGAAGGCAGGGATGCAATGAAGGTGAATCTTTCATTATAGATCTGCTATTATATTTCACAAGTCTGATCCTATTTAATCTCAGTTTCTGTGTCATTACCATTGGTTAATGTGATCTTTCCTTTCTAGGCNGGGGGGGGCCCAAAATGTTAACAGATTCTTCTGAATTGCCTGTCTGATAAGATGAACATCTTACAAAACTTGTTCACTTACATTACAGTGTGTAAACAAACCATCCCTGAGTTGTCACAATCTGCCGAGAAAGCCATAGATACTCTCAAGAACCGTTATGGGATCCATTCAACTTCAGCTTGTTGAAGGCATTGGCAGTTTAGGTAATTTCTTTTGCTGTTTGATTGTTGTATCTATCTCAAAATCTGAACTAAGAATTATACAAGGGGATGAGTCTTTTACTCATCTATCCTATATTTATGTTATTATATTTCCTGGTATATGGAACGTGAATTAGGAAATATGTTTCTTTCAATGGTAGTAATCACCATATGCAACATGGTAGCCTGTATAAGCATACAAAATCGGGGCATGTTAACATGGTAGCCTATATCCTATATTTATGTTATTATATTTCCTGGTATATGGAACGTGAATTAGGAAATATGTTTCTTTCAATGGTAGTAATCACCATATGCAACATGGTAGCCTGTATAAGCATACAAAATCGGGGCATGTTCATTTTGAAGTATGTGAAATCTACCTGGGGAAAACGCCTATAGATTCCTTTCTCCTTATCCGTATGGCCATATCCCATATGGAACGCTTGTTAAGATCCTAGTTTGCTTTATACAGTCATCAACTCCTGTTTAATAGTGTTTCTCATGCAATTATTTTATTTATTGCTTGAAGGACTGTTTGAACTTAAGCAAAAAGTGGAAAATGGAATTTAGCTCTTGTAAAAGGGAATATTTTTGACATATCAGAGGTAACTATTTGAAATCAGTACTTCCAAAATCGTTAAGTTTGCTTGGCTCCTATGCAGAATGATCGTTTTGCACCTTTTTAAGCCTTCACGCCATTGCTAGCAGATAAAATTCCTTCATTTCATCCTCTAAATCACTTCTATACAGAAATTTGAGCACCAAGCCAGCATATATCCCTAAGGGCTGAAACACTGATTGATAATAAATCATCTTTAGCTGGCAGCTGGCCTTTTGAGTGGAAAAGCATTCATCTTCTCTATTACATTGACGCAAACATTTTGTTCTTGTTTGTTTGGGTTGATCAATTGATTATCTGCCCGCCTGTTGTAAAACACTGTCGTTTGCTTTTGCCTGACATTTTTCGAAACTCATAATCCATTTTTATTTGAGCTATATAATTTCTTGATAGGTGGAGTCTAGTTTCTCTGAATTTCATTAACTAAGACGGTGTAGGAGACTAGGAGTACATAGAGATAGTTCAAGTGATTATCTTTTGAAGGCCTTCTTATAATAGAGATTTAATCCATAAAATTCTAACTCATTATTGCTGTTATCTTTTTGCAGGGATAATTTTCGAGTGAATGGATGGGAAGTAGGAAAACTGAATCTGAAAGGTGTTCTGAGACAGTGGGAGTTTAAAATTGCAGTTTTTTGAAGAATATTCACAACATGCAAATTTGAGTGCTTAGTCTTGTAAATTCATATCTTCTAGATGCATTGACTACCATCTTCCTGGTTCATCCACCCTTATATTGGCTTAATCTGGTAATTCCTATTAGAATACTACTTTTGTGCATATGCCACACGAAGCGAAGAAACGAAGATACTCGAAAAGAATGAAAATTGGAAGAGTTCCTTTTTTCTTATATACACCGAGAGTACCGGACCAATTTATTTTACCAGTGAAATAATTGCTTCTAGGCATTTGGTCAAGTACTTATTTTTGATATTTAGTCTACTTCAGAGATTACGCAAAAGTGTAATACGTAGCATGTAGAAAAATCCGTCTAATTCTTTTGATCAGCATTTAAGCTTTTCAAAGTGGATGTGCAGAGATGGTCTGTCAACAAGTGGTCGCTATGGACCTCATGTCCTCTTTCCCTGGAGAAAGGAATCATATAGTAGTAGACTAGTAGTAGTTTTAAATATCCAAAAGAGAAAGCTGCTAGCCTATGCCATTTGAGCTGTAATACAGTAATTATTACTGTCCAATGAGCTTTTAAAAATTGAATTATTCAATTATTGTCAAGGGCAGTGCAGTTTTTAGGGTTAAAGCTGGATATAAGATAAGCTTTGTCCAAATATCAAGATAAAAGAATATGCCCACTAACCGATAGAACAATGTGAAAATGTAGGTTTACAGGGCGGAGAAGTTACGAAAACCTGCTCTTATCCTAAAGTAGCATCACCCTTGCCATCTTTCCATAACAGATGCATCGGAAGTCAAGAGGTTGATATTATCCCTCGTGGACCAACTTAAGTTTAGGGACTTGAGAATGGAACAAAAAAATAGGGAGCCAACCCTCTACCTGATAAGTTATGTGTCCTGTTATGTTTTGATAATGTAACAAACTTAATGTTAAGAACCAGATGGAGAACCTGTTCCACATCCTTAAAGTGCTCAAGATCAACAGTCTCAAGTATGGGACATGTTCTAACACTTAGAGTCAAAGAAACAACACAGGAAATAGATAGACATCAGTTTCCTTGCTGACTGTACCAGTCAATTCCCCATAGCTGTAAAGTGGCTGCAACTGTGCCTCAGCACACACACAACAGTGTATACAGTGCACCAGTCACTTTATGGGGAATGCCCTTGTACCAAACATGCTTAAATCATTCGAATGATGTCACTTATGTAATATTAACATGAAGCAAAGGCAAAACATCACACTTGCACATTCCAAAATTCATCAAGCTCCCTCTCAAGTGTGTTGCCAATCTGCAAGTGATATTCAAGGCGTCAAGAACAAAGAACAACATAACGAAGGACCTATTTTCTGCATTGAGTCATTATATGTCCTTAGTTGTGTTGTACCTTTGTTAAAAGTGATGTACTTGTAATTCCTACTTAGCTTAGTTAGAAGCATTGTGTAGAAAACCTTTTGTAAAACCATAAACCTTGTGTTTGTTTCTTGGCTAGAGTTAGTCGAGTTGTAAGCTTTGTAATAGAGTTATTACAAAGGGGCTTGTAATAGATTTATTACAAGTTAGTGAGGGATTATGAGGTTAATTCCTAGGTTACAATGATTTGTAATCTGAAGTTTGGTCAGTAGTGAAGTTGAAATCCTACGAGTGTAGGTCGTGGTTTTTAATCCCGTGAGCTAGGAGTTTTCCATGTAAAACTCTATTGTGTTAATTATTAACTGTTGTGTCTGTGTTCTGTGGGAACTAATAGAGAACCTGGTTCTCTATACAGTTTAGTGAACCCTTAGTTTGTATCAATTGGTATCAGAGCAGGTTCTTTCTATCAGGCTAACACCTAGAAAGGATCCGCATGGCTGCTCCACCAAACTTCGAAGAAGGTCAATCCACCTACAGACCACCAAGATTCAATGGCCAATACTATGGATGGTGGAAGACAAGGATGACTGAAGATTCAGAGTTCTGAGATGTTATCTGCGATGGTCGCTTCGTTCCTATGAAAACCATTGGGGAACCATCAGTGATAGTTCCCAAGTCCAGGAAGGAATACAGCGATGCTGACCGCAAGGCTATAAAGAAGAACTTTCGAGCAAAGAAAATCCACGTCTGTGGCATTGGGCTAGATGAATACAACAGGATTTCTGCTTGTCAATCTGCCAAGGAGATCTGGGAAGCTCTTCAAACAATACACGAAGGGACAACTCAAGTCAAGTAGTCGAAGATTGATATGCTAACCACTGAGTATGAACTCTTTAGGATGAAGTACAATGAGTCCATTCAGGACATGCACACTCGCTTCACCCCTATCATCAATGAGCTCCATTTCCTGGGAGAAATCATTCCAAGGAACAAACTTGTCAGGAAAATACTTAGTGTATTACCTGGTTCCTGGGAAAGCAAAGTAAATGCTATCACGGAGGCAAAGGATCTACAAAAGCTAACCATTGATGAACTCATTGGTAATTTGAAAACTTGTGAAATGAAGAAGAAAAAGGATCATGAGAGAAGAGAGACCAAAATGGAGAAGAACCTGGTCCTCAAGACAGACAACAATGTTTCAAGTGGTGAGGATGTTGATATGGCTTACTTGACAAAGAGATTTCAGAAGATGGACCGCAGAGATGAAGGTATTCCAAAGAAGGGCAGCTCCAGCAAGCCAAGAGGATATGACTTATGTCATAAGTGCAGGAAGCCAGGACATTTCATCAAGGATTGTCCCCTCCTCAAGCAAGACCATTACAAGCACAACACAGACAAAGCAGCCAAGAGGAACCCAGTTCCTGATAAAAGATTTAAAAGAAAAGAAGCCGATGACAATGTTGTGAAACAAGCTCTTGCTGCATGGGGAGACTCTTCCAGCAAATCTGGAGAAGATGATGCACAATGTGACACCTCCATGATGGCAGTCGAAAGTGAAGCAGCTGTTTATGATTCCATCTTTGCCTTGATGGCAAAGTCTGACGATGATGAAGATAATGATGATGATGAGGTAAACTTTCTAGACGTTCAAAGAAATCTAAAGTCTTACTCTTAGAAAAAGCTTATATATTTGGGAAATATTTTAATTGACACTTATCACAATCTTATAAATGATAAAATGCCTTAACTATAGAGCTAGGAGAGGTAGAAAATGAGAGAGATGATTTGGTAGTTGTAGTGGCCAACCTAAAAGAAACCATCAAGAATCTAGTGAAAGAAAAAAGTGTTCTGATTAAAAAGTTTAAAAACATAGAGAATGAGAGATATGACTTATTTCATGGACCTAAAATAAACAATAGAGGAATTAAAAAGGGGAAACCGTTCTGGGACTATCCAAAAGGGGAAGAAAGTTGCAAGTGAGGCACACATTAAGCTTGAAAATGAACTTCAATCTGTGAAATCTAGTATGTGTGCTGAACTTGAAAGAAATAGACAACTTCAAGAAGATCTAGGCAGAGTTAAAAATGACCTCAAAAAATC